GGGGGTGGGGAGAGGTGCAAAAGGGGCAAATCTTTGGCAGGGTGGTTTGTACTCTCCAGCGCATGGTATTTCTGCTCCCCAAAAGAGCTATTGCTTCGCGAGGGATGCAGCAATTGCAGCACATTCCTCAGTCCGCTGTGGGGGCTGACATTTCCCTCAATGCCATATTTAGGTGGTGGGAGTTGGATGAATGCACATCTAAGGGGTGATGAATCGATTCAAACAGATCGAAGTGCTGCAGACTATTTAGGGCACCTGAATTGCTAAATCTAGCAAAAAAATGATGAGCTTTCGAACTCATATTGGCAATAAAAATAGGATATAAAATCAGGCCTGTAATTTTGCCTTTTTAACTTATGGCAAAGATGACATGTGACTCGTTTTGAAACAGTTGATAGGAGTTGACCTTCATTTCCTTCCTCGAGAGTTCGAATGCGTTTTAACACAAACTATTGTAATTGCTGCTTGTATGATAACATGGAGAAGGAATATTCAACCATCCACGTCACCAGTGGCTCGGTGTCTTATACGTCCCAGCCAACCACATTCACGGGAGACTTTGGCAGGGTAGAGTTGAACAATGGCGTTGTAAAGTTGTAGCCATGTTATGAATAAACATTAGTATAAGGGTAATATAGAGAAACAGAAGGTTAACAGTGATAACAGGGAGACAGTTGGTCGATCTTGGCCTTCTAAGACAATGAGGAATTCTCTGATGTTAAGCTAAGACGTTCTAGTCTCATGCAAACGTAAAACAATCCAGCCAATTTTGACTCTATTGAATGTTATTCTGTAGATTGCTTGCACATTCCACGAGCAGATTTGTTAACCGCATCAATTGCATGTGGTCCTTTGAATATGGTTTCCGATTCCCGTATTAAATTGTCAATGTGTGGAATGGGTTCAGACAATAAATCAATATAAATTAAAGTGCATAAAATATGGGAACTTTGAATCAGAGTTACAATTTGAAACGCAGTGCTGAAATTAATCTGAAAGCTCAATAAAAAATGATAATAATTAATAATTAATGAATTATTTAGCAAAGTGAGTTAGCAAAGTCTGGCTAAGTGGACTATCCATATTTTTGGAATTAAAATCGTGCAAACACAAAACCAGAATGCATTCCCTCTGCTTCAAAACAATCATTTCGTGATGTTGCTATTTATGTACTCACTTATACGAAAAATATTGCTGCCTTTTAACATTTAATGCGAAATGCAATTTTAATTGTGAATGAAAGAATAATATTTTCGATCCGGGGTGTGTGATAGACTTACCTCCACGTGGTGCACCCTTGGAAACGTATACCCATACGGCAAAAAAGTCTATTAACCGGCAGTTGACCTCTGACTTCAAACTACCATGTCCCCACTGTGTGTCATATTCGACCCCTTCCACAGCACTCATCTGGCCTTTTCTTTGCCTTTTTGTCTGCCCATCTCTTTTACATCTGTGAATCGCTCTTCTGCTCTCCTTCTCGATTTTTTTTAATCATGATGTTCCTCCCTTCTGCGAAGCCCGAAGTCAACTAAATGGCTAATGATAGCTGTCAAAATGCCTGCCATTTGAAATAAATATTTTCGATCCAAAATATTCACAATTAAAGCAAATAAAGTTCGCTTGTTTCTTTATCTTGAGAAATTTCCAACAACTCGCATTGTGTTTTGAAAATCCAAGAATTCGCCATTTCTTTAAAGTGCGTAATTTGGGAATGAATAGGACATACACGGCATTAAATTTGCCTTGGTCCCTCCCTTGTGCCAGAAGTATTTTTGCTCTCAAGCATTCCATAGAAATTATGCAACAAACAGCAGTCATAAGGCATACAATGAACGTGCATTCCTTTGCTTTCAATATTTGCTCTGTAGTCATGCGAGGGCTCTTACACGTGCACATTTTAAGGAATTCTTCTTTATAGTTATCATTGGTCCTTTAGTTGACTTTAGGCTTCCCAGAGGGGTAGGAACATCTAAGTGAAACAAAATCAAGTGGGGGGGGGGAGGGGAACTGAAGGGTGTTTTAAAGATGAAAAAGAGACAGACAGGCACAAAGGTAGAGAAAAAGGCAAGATGAGTACTGTGGAAGGGGTCAAATATGGTATACAGTGGGGTGATGGTAGTTTGAAGTCAGAAGTCAACTACCGATTGATTGACCTTTTGCCGTATGGTTATACGTTGCCCAGGGTGCACCACGTGGAGGTAGGTCTATCGCACACCCCATTTTAAGGAATGTAAAAGACACTATTATCGGCCATCCAGCTTCAGACAATAGATGGTTTAAATCAATTCCTATTACCATCTTTGTTCTGTGGAACCTTGTGGAAGCATAATTTACAGTAATTAATGGCACAAATGCGGGTCTTACAATTTCGCTTGCCCAAGCTGTGAATTACTCGATGTTGATATTGTTTTCGCGCACAACATCACAATAAAACATCGTGTTGTTGGTTATTCAGAATTTGTGTTAAATGCAAGATGCCTTACCGAAAATACGACAATGCGAGTCAATTTTGCATTTTCTTATGCTTGTTTAATGCTGAAAGATCAATGAAGAAGATCATGGGCACATTTTCTTGATTCAAAAGGATTAGTAGGATAGAGACTTTCTAGAAGGATAAAAAACGGTTATTTTGAAGAAATCGTAGCCATTCGCCACCAAAAAACAGTTCTGGAAACTGCACAGCCAAATATAATTTCTTCATGACAATGCTTCTGCGCATTCTTCAAGAGCTGTCAGAGTCCTGTTGTATGAAATTCGATGGGAAACATTTTCACATCCTTCTTATAGTTCAGACCTAACTCCATCAAAGCTGAAAGAACACCCTAAAGGCGATCGGTTTACGTCTTTTGATAAAGCAAAAAAGCATGTGATTTCATGTTGACAGAGACAGTTCCCAATATTCTACCATGAAGGGATTAACAGGTGAAAATATTTATTTATAACAAATGTCAGGCATTTTGATAATTATCAATAGCCCTTTATTTGACTTCGGGCTTCACAGAGGGGAGGAGGAGCATCAAAGTGGCTTCACAGAGGGGAGGAGGAGCATCAAAGTGAGAAGAATTCAGGAGGGGGAATAGAAGGGTGTTTCAAAGATGCAAAAGAAACAGATACAAAGGCCCTGAAAGGGTAAGATGAGTAGTGGTAGGGGTCGAATATGACATAGAGTGGGGGTGATGGTTGTTTAAAGTGAGAAGTCAACTGCCGATTAATAGACTTTTTTGCCACATGAGTATACGTTGCCCAGGGTGCACCACGTGGAAGTAAGTCTATCGCACGCCCCACAGGTGAAAATATAGATTGTAAAAGAGTATAGACAACGATGGAGCCCATATATAAATATGAGTCCATCATTTGTTAAGAACACAAATTATGGTATTTGTCTCCGAACATTCAGACACACCATCGTTTTACAGATATTGTGCATGAGATAAATAGTTTGGAAAAGCATTAAATCATCAGGCTGATATCACCTTATCAATTTACCGTAAAGTCGTTACCGAAACCTTGTTACCATCTTTACTTATCGGGATGTATGAAAAGGATTCGCAGATTAACAGATCATTTGGCGTCTAAATGAGTTAGACAGTGGTAAGTTCAGAACTCATCTGTCAAAAATGGGATGAAAGCTAATTAGATAAACACTTACTCAAGTCAGCCCGAAGTTGGGCATGAAATATTCCAAAACTCAGTTCTCAATATCCCTTAATGGAGTTCCGGTGGCGTAATCGTCGTCAAGCAAATGCTCAAGCACAGTTCGATTGGTATGCAGAAACCTTGTTCACATGAGGTTGTCATAAGGAAAGACTATTTGCCTTTTGAATTCGGAGCCAATTTTCGGCCACCACATC